GTTCTTGATATTGTTTCTTGCTAGAAGAAACAATCTAAAGTCATGCTCACCAGCCCCTTGCGTGATTCTTGTTGAAGAATTAGGGTTCTTGCCAAGGAACCATTTTGGTGATCCTGCCTCACCATAAGTTGTGCCATCTTCAGTAGATGGCGGGTTTTGGTCACCTCTTTGGGCGTGAACACCTACGTTGGGAGTTATTATTATTCCGTATCAGGTATTTCCCTTGCTTCCTTTTGGTTACAGACCTGGTCTGGTTTGTTTCAAGAACGAACCTTGAAAATATAGTTTTCTAAATTAGGGAATACGATTCCCGGATGGGAGAAAGAAATTTTTGAAATTTCGCCCAACCACCCTACATGGTTCGGCCATCCATATGATGGATATCCCATCCCTTCAACATGGAAACGAAATTGAGTTGACATAACCTTGTAAAGCTGTGGACAAGTTCACGATACTAACTCGCAAGCTGCCTCACGAGATTACATTAACTGAACCTCGTGAGTCACCTCACGAGGTCATATCAGTTTAACTTTGTGAGTCACCTCACCAGATTGTTATGCCCCACCTGATGATTTGCCTTGAGACACCAGCCTCACGAGTTGTTTCGTGAGGTCATAGTAGTCCTACCTAACAAGAAAAATTTTCTTGCCTCACGAGGATGCATCTGCCCTGTCAATCTCGCAAGGCATTCAAAATCAAATGTGTTTATGTCTTGCAAGGCAAGCTAAACATTAATGAGTCAGTGCCTGAGCACGGTGAAGGCCATGCTGAGGGTGTTAGATGCATTATCAGTACCTTAGGGAAGCCACGATTTGTTGTACTTTGGTGTTGTATTGACACACGTCACCTCCTAAGGAGACATGAGGCTGTGCTCTAACAACCTTGTGGTCTAGAGAGACATGTGTCCCGAGGGTAGAAACAAATGGGATTTGTCTCCAATCATTGTTTGGATTAAGGAATATTCTAGAATTCTGGCTTCATGCACATAGTCTTGCTTCGTTGCTTCTATAAATAGGGAGACCGCCCACTATGAATGGGATCTAATTTTCATTCCACTCGAACCTAAGTTCTTTTGCCTATTCTCCTCGTTGATATCTTTCTTCTCACTTCCAAGACCCTAAGTCCATCCTTATCCTTGTTGGCTTATATCAAGAATCTTTGGTTAGGGTTTTGGTCGGAGAATGCGAAGATGCTGGCACGTAGAGCTCAATAGTCAAGAACTGAAGAAGTGACACCAGTTCCACTACAACCACCTAAAAAGCTAGCACCACTAGATCCATTGGCACCAGGTGGATATTCTCTCCACAAAAGATGGAGATGAGAACATACATGATGATCAATGGGCTAGTCTAGCCGAAAAGATATACGAGTTGTGAGATCGACTTGATAAAATGGAGGAAGAGCAACAAAAAAGAATGGAATGCATGGAGCAAAAGCAAGACCGTCTATTCCAACTCTTATAAAGCCATTTCTTGACATCAAAAGCTTTGACTCCGTTGACAGCACCACCAACCCAACCACCACTAGATTCACTGGATCTTGATTCGGTCGCACCAGTAGGAAGTTATCCAGTGCCAAGAACGTCCAAGATTCATCTAGAAGTAAGAATTCCACTAAGATCCCAAACTCCTAAACCACCATCACCATCAGTACACCATCCACTATCCTTGGCAGCCATAGATTTAGACTCAGGAAAACCAAAACATTGGAATGAGAGAATCCAACACCTAACTAAAGAAGAGCTTATGGAGTGCCTGTAGTTAGTGGTCTCTGGAAACAAGCATCACCCTACCAAAGGCCTTACCCATCCATATTGCATAGAAACCCTACCTGCCCGATTACCAAGAACCACTAACCTGGCAAATGTACAACAGAGAATCGGGGAATGCCAATGAACATATTAGTAAATTTGAAGATACCTTGGGACCCTACTCCATAGACGGAGACATGAAGCTAAGAGTTCTCGAAGACACTCACGGAACAGACGTATTCATGGTTCATAAACCTGGTGCTTAGCAGCATCAACACTTGGTAAGATCTGGTGGAGAGGTTCGTGACAAAGTGGTTCACATTAGAGAGGATGACGCTAGCTGACCTGAGGAACATAAGACAATACAATTCAAAGGAACTAGGAGATTATGTCCTGTGATTCATGAAAGAACAATGAAAGTTCTTGATAGAACCTCGACAAAGTGAATTTCTCAAAGTTGTGGTTGTGTGCAGAGAGGACCTGAAGGTCCGTGGAAAAAGCAGTAGAGCAGCAACAAGGGTTGAAGCAAAGCAGCAGGCTGCATAACAGGTCGCCAATGAGACATGAGAACCACATAGTAGACTTGTGGCAAGGAAGATTCTCGTGAAGCGGATGTGCACCCCCAGATGTGGCTCAGGAAGATCACCTTGCAGCTCACTAGCGAGGCTAGATTTCAAAATCCTTCCAGCATTCTCCTACACTAGGAAAGTAGTCCTCATCACGAGGAGGTTGATTGCAGATGGGAAAATAGAGCAATCCTAGCCCTCACACCCACCCACTATAGAAGGGAAATGAGGACAAAGCTATTTGAAGAGCTGTTCCACTTTGAGGACACAAGACAAGGACAAAGCAGTAGCAGCAACATGGTAGATGAGATCCCCTCCCACCTCACCCACCAGTTGGAAGCATAAATGTTATCAACATGACAGTAAAAGTAAAAATAGATCTATAAGGTTGGGCCCATGTTTATTAAAAGAGGGAGGGGGCATGTGCATGATTTTGAGAGATCACATGAGTGACTTAAAGAGGCTGACGATAGACGCTTCAAAAGGTCTATCATCTTCCTAAGGTTGACATGTGTTTTTTTTTTTTTCAGTAAAAAGAATAAGCTTTTATTGATTGAGAAAACAGAATTTACAGCAATGAGTAGCCTCGGCTACCCAATCAACAAACAAAATAGTAAACAGTAATAGCCCCAGGAATTTGATTATAAATTTACAACTGAGCCTAGAAAACATGTTCTCTTCTAACCCCTTGTTTTTCTAGTTGATCTGCTAGATTGTTTTCTGACCTTGGAACCCATTGTGCTTAGATTTGCATATCTTTTGACAGTCTTCCGAATTTTTTAATCTCATTTCTGAACCACAAGGACTCTTTTCCTCTTTTCTCAACCAACTCAGAATCATTTGAGTCCCCTTCGATTATCAGTTTATGAATGCCTAACTCCATGGCTTTTTGTAAGCCATACAAGACTGCTTCCATCTCAGCTCTAATGGAGTTCCCTTCCCCAATTGGTGCTGAGAACATCCCCAAAATTTCTCCCCTGATGTTTCTTATGACCATTATTCCAGAGGGGCCTGGATTACCAAAACTGCTGCCATTGACAGTCAACTTAAGGAAGTCAACTGATGGTGGTGTCCACTGTTGCACGAGTTTTTTCTTGGAAGAAGAGGAACCTGCAATCACCTCCCAGTTTCTGAGTAGACGATTAATGTAACTATCGAGTACATCATAACTTGCCAACACCCAAGGGAAATCAAATGCCAAGCTACAACAGACTCACTAGCAGCCTTCCCATCCAATGATAAGTTGATAATTACTGAGGATATCCCAGGAGAATCCCATGGTTGCAGTAGTTGACAAGGATAAAGGAAGCTATACTTTGATGGAGCATTCACATCAAAAGATGGAGGTGGTGTAGGAATAGTCCTAAATCCCTTGATGGGTCCAAAATCTCATGATCCTACAAACTCCAGTTCCTAGGCTCTCACAACATAGTAGAATACGAGGCTCTGACCATAGGGCTCTACTTAGTGAAGGAATTAGGAGTCAAAAATCTAGTGGCATATGGGGACTCCTAGTTAGTGATACAACAGATAAAAGGAGACGTGGATGTCAAGGAACTCGTTAATTCAAAAATTGTGCCAAGACATTAATGTCACCTTCAATTACTTAAACAGGGCCAAGAACAAGTTTATAGATTCATCAGCCACACTACGGTCGCACACAACCTTCGAAGGGGATGAAATCACAGTAGTTATCCACAAAAAGCAAACACCAACAATTGGAGAACAGAAATAATAAAGGAAATAAAGGAGGCAAAAAACTCCATAGAAAAAGGAAAGTTGCAAAAAATCTAGTTAGTTAATGAGGTCTTATATTACAAGATGCCAGAAGGGGTAAGAGCATGATTGGTGACCACGGCTTTCTCTTGTGAGGACATTGCAGATGCCATCGCAATTCTTGTGCAATTCCAGACCATTGTAGAGTTCTGCAACTACACTTGTAATATCTTCGGCAATGGATATAGTGTTCATCGCAGGTTCTTTCGTGGTTATCTTTATACTTTCATATTCCTCATCACAATCTCTGCGACGCTAATTTACATGTACTTACACATCTTAAATTTACAACATATCTTTTTTTATTGACTAGTTAATTCATGGGTTTTGACTGGTTACTGCAGTAACTAGAGAGGCCAAAACGACTGGTCATTGCTTTACTGCATGGATAACACCGACATGGACATGCCCATTTAGGATAGTCCATCAAACACTTTTGCCTGTGTTTGACAACACTACATTTATGCATTGCCAAATGACAGACCAATGCATATTTACATTGATAATAAGATGTAAAAGTACATCAATAAAAAATAAGTAAATTTTCCTTCAAGTGGGCTTTTGATAAAAAAGGCATATGCTTTATTGGAATTCATGTTTGCATCCATTACAGCTAAAAGTCTGTTTGGTAAGAAGATAAATTTTTCAGTGCAAAACTAACCCAATTTTACAATTTATATTGGACCGTTTTACACTTTACATATTTGCATTCACACATATTTGCATCATTTCCAAATGCAGCCTAAATTTCCTCTGATAGCACGGATAAAAAATCAAGAAACTGGGGATGCATTGCCATGTCAAATGCCTTATGTTCTTTCTTTGATAATAATCATATCACTCATGTTTCCAAAACAATACTTCTGTAAACATTTATTTTATCTAATGTCTAATCTCCCGTGGTACAGCAAGTGTTTGATCATGATACCTTCTCAGCTGATGACATAATGGGGGAAGCGGAGGTTGATATCCAGCCAATGATCACAGCTGCAACATCAATTGGAGATCCAAGCATGTTTTCAGATATGCAAATTGGAAAATGGTTAAAATCGCATGACAATGCCCTCATCCATGACAGTTCCGTCAATATTGTTGATGGGAAAATAAAACAAGAGGTCTCGCTCAAGCTTATGAACGTGGAATCTGGAGAAATAGACTTAGAACTAGAGTGGATACCTCTAGACCATTAGCTTCATCAATTTCTCCACCCATATTCTTTTGTTTAATAAGACCATAGTGTATAGGTTGTTTTACGAACTACATATTGACTATGCATTTACTGTTTTGTTCTTTTTTCTCCCAGTGTATTTTGTTTTATTTTTTCTTCTGTAATTTGTATCTCTGTAGACTACTTTTACATCAATTGGATTGGCTTCTTGCTTTGGATGGTGTCTCTTGAACAGATTGGATTAATAAAATTGCTTATTTAATAATAGGGAACATGAATGAAGACCAGTAATACGAGTGAAAAAGCAAGGTTCAAAGTATCGATGATACAAATACCAAAAAAAAATATCGATGTTGCATATGTACTGTGTATCAGTTTTCAGGGTCACTGATTCTAAATACAAGGACTTGTTACAAATAGCCATATTCAACAGTTGATACCCTTTTCTTGGAAGAGTGGAAGCATATTTTGAGAGAGTTTCTTTATAGCTTCATGCCTTTCATAAGCACTTCATATACTCCATATAGTGTCGTAGAAAAAAATGTTTTAGAGTGTTGATACTCTCGATGGGAAAAAATGTATCATATGATCTATATTTTCATTTCTAATGTAGTAATGTGTTGGTGACTTACTGGAAACCCATGGATCTAAAAGAGATTAATTAGACTTATTGGAAACGGGAGAGAAGCAAACTTGTGGGATGTTCCTTGGGTAGAAGTGGAACCTCATGAGTTTCACTATCAGGCCCCCTCCCTCTTCATAATCATACCCCACAAATTGTAGCTGAGATTACCCAACGTGATGACTGGTATTCAAGGCAGTGTTTTCAAACCGTTCTTGACCCAGACGGTTGGACTTTTCAGCCCAGTCCATTTCACCCTTAACCTGTGCTTGGGCCAAAAACTATTGACTTGGTCAAAGAACCACTGACCTGGGCAGGCAAAGCATCGATGCATTCGATCTGGACAGCGATTTGCGATTTGGTAAGAAAGCATAGGAGATTGAGAGATGGGGAGGGACTGAGACAAGAATGATTTCAAATCTGAGATTCCAGAGAAAGAAAGATGCCATCGCCGTCATTGCCAGTGAACATCGGATCTTCCTCCTTCCCTCATTCCTCACTTTCTTTTCTCTCTCTTTCCTTTACTTTTTCTTCTCTCTCCTTTATTTCCTTTTCTCTCTCTCTCTCTCTCCCTCTCTCTTTAGTGTAATGAATATTTGCCTTAATATTCTGATCTAATCAAACTGCCTGAACCATTCAACCAGACGGTCAAACTGTTGACTCGAAAACTGTGGTCACAGCTATGGGTGTCAATGGACCGAGTTTGGGCTGAAACCAAGCTAAACCAAAATGAATTTGAACAGATTGGATGGTCCAATCATTGATCTGGACCCATCCAAAATAGTTCAAAATATTTATTGGATTGAATTGGATCTGGTCCATTTATAATAGATTCACATTGGACTGGATTGGATTGGATTGGATCAAATCCAGTCCAATTGACAGCCCAAGTTACAATCGGCTAACCCTTGCTATTCAGAAATTGACTTTTAAACAAACACTGAGGTTTTAAAATATATCATGTGGATGACTGGCCCACTAAACTTAAACATACCCTCTGGTAGTAACAGTTGGCATGTGACGTTACGTAATATTTGAAAACTCCTGTTTTGTCTTTTGAAAGTGCATTTAAGTTCAACAGAACCCAGATGCGTCTCTCTCTAGGTCTGTATGGCGGTGCAAAATAGGCTTTGCGTCAAACTAAGATATCGATTCGGACCTCAACCAAGTTCGAGCGCATCCAAAGTGCAATTGAAGAACAAGATGAAGAGATTGATTGCGACACTAACGGGTGACCATGATAGGGCACCTTAAATGCAGGCACTCCACCTGTATGGATGCAGATGATATGGACACTGAAAGCTATTTGATATGCTTGCGGTGAAAAGTTGTTCTGGCACATATGATCCATTTTTTTTTTTGAGAATGACCGATCAACTCAAGGTCAGAATAAAGTACTGTTGGGGTAGGTGATAGCTCGGAATTAATGACGGGGCGTTTGTGCATAGAGTGTGGATATTTAACAATTTAAATGTTTATAGATCTGCAATGGAATTCAAAAATTTGCACTGGGCCTGTCTATACTTCTCCAATTTTATTTCATTCGGAGAATTTTTCACGTAGGTGTACCCAACATGATATTTCACTTCAAAAGGTGCAGAAAATTGAACAGGCACTTTCATGTTTTTTGTCTTTTTATTCAAAGGTATTTATCATTTTTCTAGTTTTTGATTTTTTTAATTTTAAAATTAAACAAAATAATTCAAGTGGCCAATTATATTTAAGACTTTTAATTCGTCTCATTAACTCACCAATAATTACTTTCTTTCCCATCGTTCTAAAACCATTGTTGAATCAGACAGTTGGACTCTTCGGCCCAGAAAGTAGTYAGGGTACCAGTTCCATTTTAATCCCAAACCATCATTTTATTAAAAACCGTTTAATTGGTCAATAAATTATTGACCCGGGCGGTCTAATCCCTAAATTCTTCAACCTGAATAACAGGTCGTAGTTGAATAGAAATTATTTAAAATTCAAAAATAAAAATAAAATGACCAAAAAATAGAGGAAAAAGAGATTGAATGGAGACAAAACGGAGAGGGATCTATGAGATTTCACCGTCGCCATCGTCGTGCTTTGGGCTATTATGCAACACGCTTTGTGCTAAAAAAATCTCATTTTACACCATCTTTCTAATTATTTTGAACCATGACTATTATGCAACGCGTTTTATGCCGAAACATCTCATTTTTTCTGATACCATGATTTGAGTTGAAATGATAACAAAAAACATCTTATATTGTGGGAGATGTTTGTGGTGTCCGCTTTGATTGGTAGTGATGCCATATGGCGTGCTCTGTCTTGGAGAACATGTAATTGTTGTAGACCTTTTCATTATCATCGTAGTCAACATTCCTATGTCATTCCCAATGAGTAGAATGTCGTCTACATACAGAATCAGGAACATAACCTTATCCCCACTGGACTTCCTGTAAACACAAGGCTCATCCGGATTCTGTTCAAAGTCAAACCTTTTAACGGTAGAGTCAAACCGAATGTTCCAACTCCTAGAAGCTTGCTTAAGTCCATATATGAATTTATTTAACTTACATACCATGTGTTCCTGACCCGCAGCTATGAAACCTTGTGGTTGCTGCATATAGATATCTTCAGTAAGATCTCCATTTATGAACGCAGTTTTGACATCCATTTGCCAAATCTTGTAGTCATGGTATCCTGCTACAACTAGCAGGATCCGAATGGATTTAAGCATGGCCACGGGCAAAAAGGTTTCATCATAATCGATGCCCTTTTTCTGAGTGTACCCTTTCGCCACAAGACGAGCTTTGTAGGTCTCAACCTTACCATCGGGGCCCTTCTTCCTCTTATAGATCCATTGGCAACCAATTGCTTTTACCCCGGGGGACGGATCTACTAGAGTCCAAACTCCATTGGTCTCCATTGAGTCCATCTCAGCTCTCATGGCATCTACCCACTTCAGGGAATCTATGTCCAACATAGCTTCCGCATAAGTCACGAGATCCTCATCACTAGTCAAGGCTTTCATCAGGTAACTATCCTAGTCATAGCCAAAACGGACTAATGGCCTGGACACCCAGGTAGATCTTCTAGGTTGGTCAATACCTAGAACTTGTGGGACACCTCCCACTGACCCTGAGCTCTCCTCATCAAGAACAACTTCCTGGCAATGATTGTTCAGGATGTAATCACTTTCCAAGAATTATGCATTTCGACTGTAGAACACCTTCTGCTCACTTGGGTCATAGAAAAGGTAACCCATAGAGCCTTTTGGGTAGCCTATGAATAGGCAACGACTGGTCTTGGATTCCAACTTGTCTGCACTCGTTCTTTTAACGTGCACAGGACAACCCCAAATCTTCAAGTGTCTGACACTTAGTTTCTTTCCAGTCCAAAGTTCGTATGGAGTATTCGGAACCGATTTGGTTGGAACCCGATTCAGCACGTAACTCTGAGTGTACGAGAAGTGACCGGACCATATCCAATAAGGTCATATTCCTCATCTCTGAAATACCATTAAGCTGTGGTGTAGCAGGAGGAGCTAACTGTGATACTATCCCGTTGACCTTCAAGTAGTCCCTGAATTCGTCAGAAAGATACTCGCCTCCTCGATCTGATCGAAGGGCCTTAATTTCTCTCCCTAATTGTTTCTCGACCTCTTGTTTGAACTCTTTGAAATTTTCAAAGGATTTGGACTTATGTCTCATTAGGTACATGTAACCATACCGAGAATAATCATCGGTAAATGTAATGAAATACACGTGCAGGTTACGAGTCATAACACTCAGGAGACCACATACATCACTATTTATAAGGTCAAGTGTGCCTGTACATCTTTCAGGCTTACCGTTAAATGGTCGTTTTGTCATTTTACCTTGAAGGCAAAGCTCACAAGTGGGAAGATCTTCTACAGTTAGAAAATCCAAAGGACCATCCTTTACCAGCCTTGTGATACGGCCAACACCAATATGGCCAAGTCGGTAATGCCACAGGCACATGGGATTAATTGTATCACGGTTTCTTTTCTTGGGGATATCAGCCGACGTAGTTTTGGCTATGTTAGTTTCTAGAGAAGGATGTAGAACATAGAGACCATTCTCTAGTTCCTCGTATGCGATGAATTTGTTGTTTCTTTTAATAGTAATCGTATTACTAAATAATACAGAATAACCATCCGCACACAGTTTTGAGACAAAAATCAAATTTCTTCTTAAATTCTATATATAAAGACAATATTTAAGTACAATTATTCATTATCTAAAAAAGTTAATTCTACGGTTCCTATGGCCATAGTTGCAACACTTGCAGAAGTCCCCAAGTAAAGCGTTACTTCTCCTTCACTCAGCCTTCTGCTTACCTTGAACCCCTGCAGTGAGTTACACGCATGAGTTGAAGCCCCAGAGTCAATACACCAAGACGCCGAAGCTACCAATAAATTGGTTTCTATGACACAAGATTCGAAATTACCTTTCTTGGATTCCAGGTATTGAGGACAATTCCTCTTCCAGTGGTCGTCGGTCTACTTGCAATAGTGACAGGCATCTGATGCCTTGTCTTTCCTCTACTTCTTGGGTTTGGTGGCCTTCTTCTGGGGCTTTATCTTTGCCCTCCTCTTCTTGCCCGA